GCTCCTCATTGTAGGTGGGAATGTAAACTCATACAGCTGCTATGACCACTGGCATGGAGATTCCTCAGAACACTAAAACTAGAAGTTATATTTGATCCTGATATACCACTACTCACTACTGAGTATAGGCTGAAGGAACAAAAGACAGCGTATTCCAGTGGTACATGTATACTCACGCTTACAGCATCACAATTCACAGAGGCTAAACCATGGAAACCCCTGCATCCCATCAACAGCGATACAGACACACAGAGATATACTTTAGCCATAAACAAGAATGAAATCACATCACTTACAGGAAAATGGATGGAACTGAAGGCCATCGTGTTAAGTGAAATACACCAAACTCAGAAAGTAAAATATTGCATGTTTTCTCTTAGATTAGAAACCTAAAATAAACAAGCAAACTACTGAAATATAGAAGAGATGATAGAAAATAAACTCGGAGATAGGAAAGGATGATGGGAGAGAGGGAAGAAATGGAGTAAAGGGAGTGAAAATCATGAAGATATGCTATATTAATGTACCAGTTTCCCAAAACAAATGTCACTATTTTGTACTTTTTAAAAAGCTATGTACTGTAGGCAAATTATTTAACATCTCTAAATCTCAATTTCCTTATATGTAAAAACTTCCCCTCCAGTTTAAGAACTACATGAATAATATGGACTGTATAAATAATGTTGAGAATAATGTGTGTGAACACAAGATACAATAGTTGTTCAATAAATGTCAACCTCCTTCCTCCACACTGTTGTTATGTGATTTTTTTTTTAATGGTACTGAGAACTGAACCCAGGGCCTTTGCACTGAGTTACATTTCTAGTCCTTTTTTGATTTTTTATTTTGAGATGGGATCTCACTAAGTTGCAAGTTAGCTAACTTGCAACTTAGTGAGATCTGGCTGGGTTCAATTTTACAATCCCCCTGCCTCAACCTCCAGAATACTGGGATTACAGGAATGCACCACTGTATGCTGCTTAATATGTAATTCTTAGGTTTTCTAATATATGTACTTCCCTTTAAACCATTTCCAGCATCACTTGGAATCATTACCTCTATGGTTTTATTGCTCTGTCTCCCATTTCAGATGAATACAAATAAATATTTTAAAAAATTAGTTGGGCTGGGGATTTAGTTCAGCGGCATAAGCGCCTGCCTTGCAAGCAGGCGGTCGTGAGTTCGATCCCCGGTACCGATAAAAAGGAAAAAGACAAAAAAAAAAAAAATTAGTTAACATGATGGAACAGAAACAGTAAGATATTGCTTTCAAAAAATGAGCTCTAATCCAGTTTTGCCTACCAGCTGTGTGAGCTTGAGAAATTATTTAACATTTCTACTCATCTCTTACATTTTTGAAATTCTTGGTACCAAATTGTTTTACCTGCCTTCCATCGAAGCAAAATTCAAATGAAAGAAACATATGAAAATTATCAGTGGTACAGAAGGAAATCAAGTAAGGTAAGTCCTAGGAAAATAAGATCCAGAGCACAACTGAGGGTTTCATTCCCTCTGCCACAGAATACCAAGGCAGAGAAATAGCAGAAACCACAGTGACTTTTGAGTCTCAGGCAGTGGTGCCCCAAGTATAGAGATGCCAGGAGACTGTCCCTCTAGGACAGTCTAGCCCCTTGATACTGGTTTTTTATAAAGAAGCAGAGGCAATGTGCCACTCGTCAGTATGACCATCGGCAGCAATACCCTCACATGATCCTGTGTCAGCAGCCATCTTGAACATTGCTCCAGGGAAGACACAGCCTTTTCTACACTGGGGGTCCCAGGCACCCTCTCACAAGCACACAGAGAACCAGATTGCTGCAAATTGCCTGGCTCGGCAAGGTGGAAGCAGAATATATAGTCTGGTTTTAACCAAGGAAAGCTTCATCGTGGCCAAGGAGCTTAAAGAGACTCCTGCCCAGAACCTTCCATTAAGGATCATTCAAAGAATGCCAGCCTAACCCATTGGTAAGAGAATGGCAGGCTGAATCCTGCTCCTCCTCACAGGTGAGTTTTTGCCAGCACTGAAACAAGGCAGAATCAATTAATCAAATGGCTAATTAGCCCAAATATTGTTAAATGGCCAAGACTATTAGAAATGTTGGTGTGCATTCATTGCTGATGATGCTGAATCTCACTTTCAAATACTTAAACCTACTGTCTAATTGTTTTGCCTTTCATTAGCATATTATTTGGAATAGGTTTACAACATACATACTATAGCACTAAAGGAACACAAGTATGTAACTTGCAAATAAATATATTTGAAGTGTTTTACTCCAGGTTTTGAGGTTAAAAAATGGGGAAATCATTGGCACAGGGTAGAGTGGTACCTCATGTCACAAACTAAGTTCTTTCTTTATTTGGCACCAGAATCGAACTCACAACCCCACACTTGCCAAGCTATGTCCTCCCTCCACAAACTTAATTCTTTTCACAATTCTGGTGCAGAATTCATTCCACAGGTACTTACTGTATTTTATTTCTTTCAGGCCTTATTTTCTCCAGTCAAGACTTTTGTGTCATGGACCAGTTGACCATACAGTAAATGAAGATGTCAGAAAGCTGTATTTTCATGTTTTATCTGGTGGGTTGCTGTTAGGTGAACATCTCCCCAGGTCTTTCTTGAGCCTCTAAAGACCGCAGAAGTTTGCTATCACCCTGTGAACCTGAGGACTGGAAGCCAATGCAGCTTCCCCATGCAAAGCTCATGAAGCTCATGGAATGTCAGCATTCCCATACAGAGTGGCTCTGAGTGAGGTAGCTGAAGGATACCAGCCTAACGCTGCAGACCTGTGCCAAAAACAATTGCTGACAATTATTAGTACTTACTACATACCAGTGTCTTAGTGTCTTTTCTAGTCACTGAGACAAAATACGTGACACCCAAGGTTAAAGGGGGAAATGTTTATTTAGCTTGCAATTTGTAGAGGCTTCAGTCCATAATCAGCTGGCTCTAAGGTTGGGTGGCACATGGCAGATGGGCAATCGTTTATGGTGGTAGATGACACCAAAAGCAACAAGGGAAAAGGAAGACCAGCCTCTTTCTGTACCTTATATTGTATGCAGGTTACCCACCCTAAGGTGAGTGTAGCACTCACACTCTATCTCATAAGTCAATCACAAACGCTAGAAGCCCCCCCCATGACTGCATGAGGCTTTGAGGGGACATCTAGATGCAAATCATAACAACCAAACCCTCTATGAGTTTCATGTGGATTCATCTCACAAAATCTTACTTATAGTGTGATGGAAAGCACAATTATTTATCTACCTTCTACAGATGAGGCAACTGAAACAGAGAATCACTAATTTTCCCATGACCACACAGCTCATAACTGTTATAGTCAGGATGCAGAACTGTATCCCTAACTCCCAGGACCCTGCTCTTAATCACAGTATTGTGCTTCTTTACATACAAAAATAATAGTTTTATAGAATGCCATTGTTTTATCTGCAACAAAACTAATTTTAAAAATTTGTTGCATTCTAGTTTGTGACCCTGTTTTCTCTTTGAACAAGCATATATACCAGAACAGATCACTGTTTTAAAAGCTAAACATCAAAAGTAAATTGCAATTGTGTTTAGAGGAATTAGTCATACAAACAGGTTTGGAAAGATTCATCTCACCAGTTCTTGAAATACCTGCTTTAAATCTTTTTTAATACTAAGCAGAGAATAAGTAACAACATGATAAAATGCATACTATTTTGCTTACTATTTTCTCAGAATATCTGAGATAAGTTGAAATTGCTAGTGTCCCAAGCAACAAGAAAAAGATGACATGTGACTCAAACATTTCATACAGTTAACAACAAGAGGAAAAAGTCAACACAAGGGCAATTTAAAGAACTTTTCAATCACGATTTTACCTGTAATAATGCCATGTAGAGCCAAGGATTTAGGTCAATGGCACATCTGCCTGCCAAGTATGAGGTCATGAGTTTGATTCATTGTAATATTAGTAATGATGCCATGTAGGATTAAGTGTTGAGTGCCGGGTGTGGTTGGGCACACCTGTAATCCCAGTACTCGGCTTGGGAGGCTGAGGCAGGAGGATCACTGTGAGTTCAGGGCCAGCCTGGGCTACATAAGCCAGTTCAAGGTCAATCTGTGCTAGATAGCAAGACTTTGTCTCCAAGGAAAAAAAGCAGAAGCAGAAGGAGGAGGAGGAGGAGAAGAAGAAAAGAAAGAAAGAAAGAAAGAAAGAGAGAGAGAGAGAGAGAGAGAGAGAGAAAAGGAGGAAGAAAGGTGTTTAGGTAGAGAAAAGCCCAGCAAGCTGCAGCATCCACTCCTAATTCTGTAGCTTTCTAGCAAAATACAACAAATAAAAGTATTGGCAGGGGAAAAAATGGCAAGGGCTATTCAAGGGCTATAGAAAAACGCTTCTGAGAGCAAATTCCCTCACATGACTGTGTGTTCTTGGCTGTGTAAATTGAGGACTCAAATTTCTCTTCTCAGATGCCCCCATTATAAACACTTAGGCCATGATTTTAGAAGCAGTATAATTTACAAAGCACAGTCCACTCTGCACAGACTAAAATGCTACTTTGTTACTGTGACTATTTTATCTTTGATAAACCATCATATTTATCTTTATAAGCACTTCATTAAATATCACTCTAACTCAAAAAAGAAATATTCAGCATTAAAACAACTAAGCAATTCAACAGCGCAATATAATACATAAACTTTGTAATAAAGCAAAAATAGTCACTTGATTAGATTCTGTAATTTGATTACTGACATCATCTTTGCTTGAATAGCACAAGATGCATAGAACCTAACAATGTTTGGGGAAGAGAAAGATTTACTCAGAATGTTCAGAAGCAGTTTCCTGTTTTGTTTATCCTTAATAACAGTTAAGTTGCCTAGTATCCAGAAAAATACTTTTTCACTTTTATCTCAGCAAGTAATTTATAAAAGTCATTTCATAGTCACTTTCTTGTTTCAGTTTAACCCACATTCGAAGAAAAAAAAAATCAGCGCTTTTTGACACGAGTCGTTGAATCATTCATTTATTTAGAAAGAACCATGGCACCAAAGACATTTTAAAGTAATATTGAAAATCACAATAAGCTAGTATTTTCCCATATAAACAAATTTGCATGTATTTTCCTGGTTGGGTTTCTTTATCCATAGAAAAACATTTTTTAAAGTCATTGAATTAAAGAAAATAATCTATTCGGTTATGTGGATCCAATTTCTCACTCTTCTATTCATAAATAGTCAGATCCTGCTTGAGCAAATTTTCTCTTTCAGATTTGTGTTTCTATATTCCTCCTGAATTATCTTTTATACATCTCTTTAAGCCACCACTTCGTGACTCAAGTTAGAAAAGCACAATTTTTCTGATTTCACAGGAATTTGTAGATGAATTGCAAGAAGTTTCATAGGGAAAAAAAACTCCATTTTCTTGTATATTCTGCAAAAGGCTGGCAGTCTGTCCAGTGTACTATTTGTCACCCAGCACAAATAGAGAAATCTATTACCTACAAAGGTATTAGGAAAGTGATCTCAGCTGAAAGCATTTATCCAATCCCAATTGTTTGAATGTTTAAAATACTAAAGATGATATTGTTCCAGGAGCTACTGTTTAAAACAATGCAATGCCTGTTCTGAGTGAAAATTTGGTATTTGAAAATCTGAGTTGATTTAAAAAATAATAAGTGTGCATCCAAAAAAAATCCTAAAGAAGCATTTATATGCCAGGCACATGTTTTTAATTTTAACACATTGGCTTACCTAAATAAGTATGTAGAACCTAATAACTGTTCCTATATGTTGATTTTTTTCAATATTATTCTATTTAGTGGGTTTGCAAAAAAGCTAATGAGTAATAATGAAGAAATAAACATATCTGTCAGCATCAAGTTGCAGTGGTTCATGAGTATTGCAAAACACTATGCTAAACAAAATTCTGTTTAAAAAAATAATTGCAAATTTGGGTGTGGTGGCACATGTCTGTAATCCCAGCATTTGAGAGACTGAGGCAGGAGGATCACTGAAAATTTGAGACCATCCTGGTCTACATAATAAGTTCAAGATCAGTCTAACTACATAACAAGACCCTGTCTCAAAAAGCAAAAGAAAAAATTCCAAACAAAGAGTAATTTAAAACTGCTCTGATTAAAAGAAATAAATGTAGCTACATCCTACAGGATAATGTCAGATAAGAAGTAATTGTGTTCCCTGTACAATTGTGTTTTTGGCATTTAGATGAGAACAATAATGCTTTAAGGTCATTTTCATAGTTGTTCACTTAATATAGGATTAACATCAACATCTTAATAATTATCTGAGATAACCCATTTGAAAGTGATATGGCAAAACAGGTTAATAGTTAAGGCACCCTAGTAGCTTTAATACTAAACAGATTAATACACAAGAAAGTAATAGTATAATTTGTGCACTGAATAATATTCCAAGCCAATTCTCTTGGTAAGAAGACAATTCTTAAGAAACAGAGCTTTTTCTAACTACTGCTTCCTCTTGCATGAAATGCTAAGCAATCAGGCTAAGAAATTATAGAGAGATATACACATGACTATGTAGACCTCAAATATTCTATGGTTCCGCTGTTGCACAATTTTATGAAGCCATTATAAATGACAGAGATTTGCTTTAAACAAGAAAAACAAAATGTTACAACAGGAGGATGATACAGAAGAGTGAAGATGTAATTCAAATGGGATTATAAACTAAAATAATTTTAGGTATGAAAGAAATTATATTGGCCAGAATGGCTATGAATTGAATATGAACAAACAAATGTAGGTCTGACCTTACACGTCCTTAATTTTAACACATACCCCAGAAGTTTTCTCATAAAAATATTCCTCTGCCCAGCTCCTTCAGAAGTTGCACCAGAGGAAAATAGGTTTTCATTTAGCAAGTAGTATGAAATCACAAAATAATTATCCAAGTCACACTTATCTTTCTTGAGTCCATGGAAAAAGGTCACTTCATATCCAAGTCCTTAGTACTTAATCATCTTTGTTTCATGTTATAGGGGTCCAGGTGGGGTGTGAAATGTTGGAATTTAAATGAATGCAACAATGCAGGCATGTCCCCCCAAAAGGCAGATAGAGACCACGTTAAAAAACAGCATCTTGTAACTTCAGCTGTGTTTGAAAACCAGGGGAGGGTGAAGTTGCTGAAGATTTAAATCGTCTTGCTTCCACTTATGCAGAGAGGAATCATAAAAAGAGATTTATTATCATATTTTGTTTTTGAAATGTATTTGCTTTTTACTTTAAAAGTGCTCCCCGGTATAGAGCAGAGTAAATATTACAATTTTGTTAAACGGCGGCCAAGATTTAATTGTCTGTGAAATACAAGGCTTAGGACGTGATTGGAGTTAACTACTGTTGTGCTGACACAAACTAGGCTCGCCTGGGCGGTGACCGAGGCGCCCAGAGGCTCACTTACACACTAGAGCGCCCCAGAAACAACTCAAAGGAGGCTTTCAAAGGAGGCTGGAGGCGGACAGGTCCCTGCTGCAGGAGCCGCTCCACTGGACGCGGGCTTGATTTCTGCCGCAGAATTAGGAGACTTTCTACAAAGAGTCAGACAAGAAAAGCAGCTATGCAACGTATAACAAATCAGGCTAGCAGTTTAACAGGGAGAAGGGGGATGCAGTCACCGCTAACATACACTGAATAAAAATGTACCCAAGCGGGGGAGGGGGCAGGGGAGGGGGCGCGGGACACAAAGGAAGCGGGTAAGGACTGGACACTGCTTTCCCAATGCGTTGGCTCGGTCGAGAACTTGGGAAGTGGGTGTCCTGCAGCCCTGCTCCGCGCGGGGGGACCGCCTGGAAAGCGCGCCCGCCCCCCGCAGTGCCCCCCACCCCGTCCCCTCCCCCACCCCTCCCCCCCCCTCCCCCCACCCCCGCCTCCGGCTCCGCGCTCGCCTCCCGCCGGGCGCCCCCGGGAGCGCGCACCCTCGCGGACCTGCCCGGTGGCACCGCAGCCACAAGCCGGCCGTAATTGCAAAGCAAACAAGGCTGAAATATTGGATCGGCCTCCGTCGTGACAAGATCTTCGCTTTTGCCGCCAATTTGTTTGCGCAGCTCTATTTAAAGACGCTTGATTGAGGAAATGTTGGAAAATAGCGGCGAGGGTTTCCCTAATGAGACCTCGAGAGGGAAACGCGGCCTTCGCCCAGCGCCAGCGCTCGACCCCGAGGCTGGGAGAGGGGCGCGTTTAACCCCTTCCTGCCTGCGCAGGGGGAAAGTCCTGGCCGCGGACGCGCCGGGGAAACTGAGGCTCCACACCCCCTCCCCACCCGGAGCCCAGACCTCTCCCTCGCTGGCGCGGAAATGAGAACTGAACCAGGTTGGCCAGGGAGGTAGATACAGGTTTAGACCGGGGTGGAGGCTCCGGCCGCGCCTGTCCCCCACATCCCGTGCCGCTACCGCAGTCCCGCGCCCCGGTGTCCAGCGCCTACTGTCCTGCGAGGGCCCAGCCCCCGCGATCCCCGAGGACTCGCGCTCTAGGGACGGAGGCTGAGTGCGGAATTAGCGACAGGAGACGTCCCGGGCAGGCTTGCGGGAAGGATACACCTGGGAGTGTGGCACCCATCGCTGTCAGGCTGGCTGGGTCTTCAGGCAACTGGCCAGAAGGAGAAAACAGAAAAGGCAGGAAGAGAAAATGCATGAATATTCAGGGAAGCCTGTGTATCAGGTGACTCACGGGAGGGTACCTTGATCCCTCTAATCTAGCCCATACACCCCAAGGTTTGTGCTATCATCCCCATTGTTCTGACAGTGAAACTAAGGTTTAGAGAGGCTGAATCGGGTCACACAGTCAGTTTGTAGAAAACCAGGAAGCCCTATCCAGCACGGACTGGAGCTTAGGATGCCGGACACAGGTATCATCTGGGCCAGGCTGAAGTAGGCCTGCTGCAGGCCCAATTGATCTGGCAGAATCTTTCCCCAGTTCTCCCAGAGGCTTGGAGGTAAACCACTCCCAACCCCTTTACCAGCTCTCTTCACTTTAAAGAGAAAAGGAAGCCAGTCCAATTGTGGTTGCAGCACTGTACTCCATTTCTCTGAATCTCTTTTCGGAAGACCGCTTGAGGAATTTTTTTGGCTGCAGTTCGTTAACTGGGTTGTCAAGGAATCCACAGAGGAAGGAGGTGACAGATTTGTGCCCAGAGAACTACAAAGGGAATACTAGTGAGAACACCAGAAAGGAGTTCATAAACAGATCTACCCTTTGGGGGAGGGAAAGGGGTAGATGCCTAGAAAGACTTCCTTGGGCATTTAGCTTGGGCCTACAAGCAAAGAAAAGGGGAGAATTCTCCAACCCAACACGGGAGAGGCAAACGGATGACTTGTTTGCCAAGGATGCTGGCAAGTTAAGGAGCACCAGACCCACGACTGGGAATGATGCAGGAGTCGCTCTTTCATCACCTGTTGTCATCTCTAACTGCAGGTTGGTCAAGCCCTAAGCCAAAACTTATTCCTTCAGGAGTGAAAATCCAAGGCTTCAAGGCGACACTCATGGTAATCTTGGGTCTTTGTAGAGCCCTGTACTATAGGTAGGCCAACAGACCTGTTAAGAAGCAGAGACAGAAAAATGGCACTAGGGGCGCTCTCACAGAAGTCCTAACCACGAGAGCCCCACATTCCCGCGCTTTTCCCAGGAGGATGTGAACCGATAAGTACCTTGGCCAACGTGAAGTTTCTTTCTGAAGTCACAGGCAGATGTAGATCAGGAAAGTGAAGACCCTCAGGAGTAGGGGGAGGACTAGTTTCGGTTGTACTTTCCTAAGCATGAACTGTGTCTTCTGTCAGCAAAACCAAAAAAAAGAAAAGAAAGAAAGAAAGAAAGAAAGCATCAGTCACACCCATTTAGTAAAGTCTCCAAATGTATTATGAATGGAATTCTGCGTTTTCTATACACAACCAGTGTCTTCGTTTGAAGTTGGATGCTTTGCGAGCAGATTGCAATTCCATTTTTTTTGTTGCTCGAGGTTTTGGCCTGTGTTAACTTAAATGGGTACTCATACTATATTTAAAAAGAGAGAGAGAGAACCATTCTCTTGTGGAAAATGGAACAAACTAGTGCTTCTCCAATCACAGTGCAGATATATAATCTGTAACAACAGATTAGCCTCCCAGTGCTGCGCATTTCCAGCAAGCATCCTGCCTTCTCTGTTTATATTATAACTTTTCTGCCTGCAATTATTTTTATTTTAATTTTCTGTCACTTTAACAAAAACCAGAACCTTTTCTTTTAATGTTTTGTACACAACATGTTCATTTTGATAAGATGTTCTTTCCTATCCTCTTTTAGCTTGCCTTTCCTTGTTTAGAGTTCTGTATCAGAAGTTTCTAATATTTCTCCCTCTTTTTTTAAGAACTTGTCCCTGTCTTGCTTTATTTGTTTGTGTGAAATTTAGTTTGAAAGGAGATCAGAGAGAGCAGGAGGGGTTTGTAATAAGAGAATGACCGAATGACCCAAAGGCTGATTATCTATCATTAACTGGAGACTCGGTGTACCCAAATTACCAGGGAGACCTCAGTCTGCCGGATCCTTACCCAGCCAGAAAGGCTAGCGTGGAATGCACACACTAAAACTGGCTCATGGCATTGCAAACGAGGACACTCTGCTCACACACATTTTCTTAAGGAATTTTGCTTCAAAACTCAACTCCAGTTGAATGGATAAATTTATTAGCTTCTAAGATGTTGAACACAGGTTTAAAAAAATACAAAAAAAAAAAAAACTCTACCAAAAGACTAACCTTAACATTTCTGTAACTAACTTTTATGCATTCTTTCGTTAGGAGCAAAATTGCAGTTAATTGTCTAAGCTCCAGAGAATATTGAGAAACGAAACTAAGCTGCTTTTGATCTGCTCACGCTGCTAAACCCAAGCCTTGTAAAAATCGAGGTTTGCCATTAATATTGACAATAAAAGTGTTTCTTTTTGTTAACTTGAAACCTAACCACCCTGGTTTAAGTCCCTTGTCTATAACCAAAGACTCTAGAAGAATGTAGAAAAGGTTTGGAAGGAACTGTCAGAGCTAAAGAAATCCATCCATGTAAATCTGCAAAGGCAACTATAGAACAGGATTTCCCAGGAATGTGAGCGACACCAAAGTTAGAACTGGGAATGCACTTGGGCCTCAAGTCACAAACAAATCTTCCAGCCATATAAATAATTTCTCCAAAGCCCCACTTTTTAAATTGCCATTTCCATTCACAGTTTGTTCTGAACACCGGACTACATTGTAAAATATTGTTGAAATATATTACTTACTCGTTTCTTAGTACAAAATGTACACTATAACATTTATTTCCTTTTCTGAATTCTGAATGATTTCTTTCTAGCTCTTGAGAAATATTTTTATTATTTATTCATTAGTTTTTATTTTTACTTTTAGCAATGTTGGAGAATGGAACCTAGGGCCTTAAACATGTGAGACACAAATTGTAGCACTGAGCCATGGTTCTGGCCTTGAAAATATTTGTGTCTATACCTTGTTTAAAACAATAATGTGGATGAATATTTAACACAAGACCTGTAGGATGTATTTTATGCCATTTTTATCTAAAACTCTGTATTTACTACGAAGTAGCAAAAATGAGATTTACCATTCCTCTTAAGACTAGTATAACAAAACTGAAAACAATCTTAAAGTATACATAGTATGTTGCTTTTTATAAAGCATTATCTCTTATATTACCATTAGCCTAAATGAGTATTTTAGTTTTACAGACTTGGATACCTGTCAAAATGTTTAGTCTTCCTTATCAATGAAAACTCTCCAGAACAGCAATATAGCTAGCACTTAAGATGGGGATCTAGTCATAGATTATTTGGAGAAAACAGAAATTGTATTGCTTGTAGTACTGAATATTAACATTTTCTTAGAAGACTTAAAGATGAGCCAATAAGTCATTCTTTCACACCAGTCACAGACTCAGTGACAGGAGAAAAAAAACCCTTTTAAATCAAAACACTGATGGAAAGTGAATTCTGAGGAGAAAAGGGAATGAAGGAAAAGAGAGGAAAATGTACAGGCATTTTGCAGGTCCTGACTGTCTCTACTGACATAGTGCCTAATCAAAACTGGACTAAAGGCTTCATAAAAGCAATCAACCCTATCACAGTCCTCAGTGCAGTTGGGCCAGCCCCTCCCCCCTGCATCTCCACAGGTCAGCTGGGTGGAGAACAGGAGGAAAGATGGCTCTCTCCCCAAAAACCCCACCCCCACAGCAAATCCAAAAAGAAATTGCTAAGAAGAAACAAAACCACATAAAAGTCAACGACGGTTTTTCATGCTCTTCATTTTTGAAATGACATAAAAGCCCAATCGAACTCAATTCTACTTTGTAGATGTGTACTTTGAACTATTATCACTTGTCCTGTCTGTAAACAACTATTTCCCAAAAGAAAAACAAAAAAGGGAGGAACTGCAAGATCACAAAAGGAGACCCTTGTCGCCACTTGGACGACACGCCTTGTTCTGGATGTCCTAAACATTCTGGGACAAGTGGCTAGCACGGAAAATGACTCAGTCCCACCCTGGTAAAGAAGAAAACACAGTCAGCAGTGTCACATGAAGCACTGTCCTTGGTACAGGTGGGGCTGAGGTTACATATTCAAGAACATGTTGCTTTATTCTGTCACCTTCCGGGTATGACATTCTGTTGAGTGCTTAGCATGTGCTGGAGATCTCCCTTTTATACTTAGGAGAATGCTCAAAATCATTTCCACTGCTCTGTTTAGGGAAACAAGGTAAAAAGAGGTTTGAAAGATGATGAAGGGAATTGAGCCATAATTCCTGTAAATATAAAATGTGTGTTTATGCCCTTCTGGCCTGGTTCTTTTCAGGTCCAGTTTATTTTGAATTCTCGTGAGCAAATCACAAGATACAAAATTACCCTTGCTTTTGAAATAATAAATACCTCAAAAAGATCTGTATTTTCCCTAAAAACAGACTGAAGTTTAAAAAAAAATATTTGGTTTAAACTAGATTGATTTTTAAAGTAATATCTCATAAGTCCAAAATGTTTGCAAGGCAAGGCAGTGCTCAGCCTTCTCGTGCTCTTGAATATTTTCCAGGGGAAGCCATGGTGGGAGTAAGGCAAGGACAAGCGACATGGGCACAAAATAAATGTTTGTATGGGATTCTGGTGGTTTGGCAGGACCAGCTGCAAGGCACAGCCCAGTAGGTGCACCACCAACCACAAGGAAGACTGGAAGACATCACCCTGAACCTGGGCTGACTCCCTGTGAAGCAAAGTGTTCCCAGCCTGGAAGAAGAAATTCAGTCTCTCGCTTGGGTTCCTCTCAAGATCCCCAGGGTCACCCTCAGTCAGCCTTGTTGCAGTTCCCTGAGGTCTTTAGAACTCCAAATAAGTGCGCTGGAGACCACAGTAATGCAACACAACAGAGGAGTCCCTAAGCTGATGTCACAGTGGAGCTCTATACCTGTCCTGCTTTCCCTAGCATCAGCACCCACCTCTCCTCCATCACCATCACCACTATTAGTACCACCCCTGTATACAGAGACCATCTAATTCAGGGACAAACTTGAGGTGTGGCCTCTTAATCTCACAGTTTCCAAAGCAGCAGAAGAACAAAGCATCCCAGGATTCTTGGAGCAAAAGAAAAGCATGAGCAGTGCTCAGCTGTGCGTTAAGGGTAGAGCTCAGCTGGTCAAGGCCAGGGTGGCCTCCCTGAGTCAGTTCCTACAGCTGGGAACATGACCAGTGTTCATTCATTTGTCTGCCTCCGCTGCCAAGCCACCTCCAGACCACCTTTTTAAGGCTCTAGCCTCTGCGTTTGAATTCTTAGATATGCAATGCTTTAGATTTCCTGGGACTTAGGAATTAAGTGGTAAATGCTGTAGCTGACCACTGGCGTTCAATTAGCATCTTTTACTACTCTGCTCTGTCCACATCTATTTCTTTTATTACTTATAATGTTACCTGGGGCCATGAATGGATTCACTCATTTGGTTTTTGTTTCAAAGTAAAAAGCATTTAAAAAGCTAAATGTGGCAAATTCCAATCCTTCACAGCTGAGGGTAGAAACTTCTCAGCCCCCAACCCAGCCTTCCTCTAGGTTCTTCTTCCTCCCTCCACTCCCAAAAACTTTATTTCTGAAAGCAACCAAACAACTTCCCCTAAAACTGTATCTGTTCCCTGATGTAACCATCTTACTTCATCTACCTGTTCCCAAGGCCTAAATATGTTTTTATAAACAGACATTTAAAAAATTGCCCAATGTCAGAGAATTGAACTACTAGTATTTACACACTCAGCCAACATCCTAGTAAAAATGTAAACAGAATTCCTGGCCACACTACCTGTATTCCTTCTCTGGTAAAGGAATAATTCTTTAAAAGGTTCTTCTTGTGCCCCAAACAGCAGATCCACCCAAGTTATGAGTTTAGAGCTAAGTAGTTGCTACTTTGTTCGGATACAAAATGCAAGCCCCTGGCCTGCTTGCTGGTGCCTCCTTTCATGTCCTCTCCATTCTGTTCTTTACCCTAGGCATTCTGCTAGGGGCGTCAGAGAAACTGACCCAATATAGAAAGAAAGAATGCCCCCACTGTGGACTCCCAAACCAGATTTTTACATCCCTCTCTACGAGTTCCCTTCTTTCTCTTACTGCACAGCAGCAGCGAACCCCAAACCATGTATACGTCTTGATGCAGCTGCCCAGGGCTCTGGAGCTAGTGGCAACACTCTGCGGCCTTCATTTGCTCTGCCCTGGCTTTCTAGCCTGAACCACCACAGAGCTGGCACAAGCCAAAGTGGATAAGCAAAGAACTGTCCTCCAGGAGTCCTCCAGTGGTGCTTCTTCTGTGGCTGGAGCTGACTCTTTTTTCCTCCAAAAGATGATGCCAAAGTACAGCCACTGGTGTCGCTTGGGCTACCCTTGCTGGGTCCAAAGCCCATGGCCTCTGCCACCTCCTGCAAGCCCTGCCCGATTGCCTGTAATTTACAGCCTGCGGAGCTTCTGCTGACACTTTTCCCCAGGCAGAATCCCATAGGCACATCAGCTTCTGCTTGAGAGGAGGCCAAATCGCAAGGGTGATTTTAGTCCCAACCACTGACCACCTCATCCCTCGCCCTTGGGGGAACCCTCTGGAAACACTCTCGCCACGCGGGCGCCTTGGCCCGAGTGTCCCACGGCTAATAACTTACAAGTGGAGATCCACTTTCCGTTATAATGCATTCAAGATCGGCAAGGCCAGCAGTCTAAACATCCACGAGCCGTCCTCCCGGCCTGCCTCTTAAACTAGCGTTTAATGGTTCCCCTCCGATAACTAAACTGTTTTCCACAGATGCCCGCTTTTATGGGGGAGGCAGGAATGCAGAGATATATTTATATGTTTGTTCATAAAAACTGGAAAATAAGCTCTGAACACGCTGTAAAAAATATTCAGTTACTTACCAAACAGGCTAGTTAAACCAGGGGAACACGGATACCAGCCACACCAAAGTTTCGGGGAATCGAGGTGCCCGCACTTTGAAATCTTCTGAAGTCTCCATTGGGGCTGATGTCCCTGAAGAATGGGGAAAATAAGAGCATTTACAATCGGTTTGACCGATTGCCCGGGGCGTCTCAAATGTGGTGTCCACAAGTTGTCGCAATAACCTGAGCCACCCCAAACAGCTCCGACCCAAGTAACACGGTAAGAGCCACCAAGACGCGTGTTCTCAGCCTGTGCCAGCTCAAAGGAGCGCCATCCCCACGCGCGCCGGGGCTGCCTGGGAAGGAGACCGCCCCGCCAGCAGCCACCCCTTTATGGGGGTCCCCACGCCCTTACTGGGCTCTTGGCCGCCGCACAGAACTGCTTGCGGCTGGCTGAGGTCATTTTTCAGCCTCTGTTACCTACAAAACGCTTTGAAAAGCAGTGTCTGAGAGTTATTTTTCTTTTGCTTTTTTTTCCCAACCAGAAAAGAAAGTAGAGTGATACTATACCTGATTAAGATTCTTCAATATTTGAGACTTGGGGGGAAATATTTTAATAGAGTAGCATCTGTTAAACACTTGCATTAACCTCTTGATGATTTTTTAAAGTTTTTTTTTCACTCTGCCCCCCCCCCTTGTTTTAATTATCTTATGGTTATGAGGGGACAGCCAATCCTGGAAGAGGACCTCGGCAATTAGCAACGCGAACATCAAAAAGTTTTATTGCGGAGAGCTCAAGGCGCCGCCCCCGCCGCCCCGGGATTGGCGTGAGGAACCTCTGACGACATATATTAACCCGAGCGGCCCTAAAGATGTAGCTGTACATGGAGATCTTGCTGAGAAAATCCGCTTGCTCCCCTCACGGCGTCCAGCCCAAGAGAGCCGTCGCCGCCACCCGGGAGCTGCTTCGGCCACCGCGCAGACGGGTCCCGGAGCCCAAGCCGCCAACTCCGCGCACCAGGGCGCTCCAGGGCCCCACATCCGTGCCCCAAAAGGAGAGATCTGAGAACATGGATGCACTGAGACCTCTCTGAAAACCCTCCGAGAGACACTGAGAGGAGCGAGGACACGTTACTCGCAGCTAAAACTCACATTCAAGGACCAAAACAACAACAGCCAATTTTTTTTTTTCATTAAAACAATAAGCTCCCAAGAACCCAGATCGGGCTGTGGGGGAGGGGAAGAGGCGGGAAGGGGAGGGTCGCATGGAGGTAGCTTTGCAGTGAGCAGCCGACCCCGCCGCCACCCCGCAGAGCCGGGCCGCTCCTCCAGCCGGGGCTCGGACTCTTTCCCGGATTCCAGGTCAGCTTCGGTGCCTGGAGCGCGGCCCGCGCACGGAGTACCGGGGCTCGCGCAGCAGCCTCGAAGCAGCTCGGGCACCTTTGCATGAGCACCAGAGGAGTCAGCCTCGGCGCAGCGGCAGCCCGGGAAACAGGAGCCGGCGCGCGGTGTGCAGAGCGAGGCGGGAACCGGCGGCGAAGGCGGCGGCAGGCAGGGGCGCACGGTGCCGGGGCCACCTCGCCGCGCCCCATGGGGAGCCGGCGGCCGCAGCGCTGCTGAGGCAGGCCCGGCTGGCCAGGCGGGGGGCCGGCGCCCGGGCTGCAGCAGCCCCCTCTGCGGCTGCCGGGCGGGCCCGGGCGCCCGGGGGCTGGGGGGTGGGGGGTGGGGGAAGACGCCGAGCGTGGAAGCGGGGCCCCGGGCAGAGGGCGCGGTGGGGCTGCGCGCACGCTGGGGCGCGTGGAGGGGCGCGGAGGGCGAAATGAGTCTGGTGGGGGGCTTTCCCCACCACCCCGTGGTGCATCATGAGGGCTATCCGTTCGCCGCCGCCGCCGCCGCTGCCGCCGCCGCCGCCGCCAGCCGTTGCAGCCACGAGGAGAACCCTTACTTCCACGGTTGGCTCATCGGCCATCCCGAGATGTCGCCCCCCGACTACAGCATGGCCCTGTCCTACAGCCCCGAGTATGCCAGCGGCGCCGCCGGCCTGGACCACTCCCATTACGGGGGAGTGCCGCCCGGCGCCGGGCCCCCTGGCCTGGGGGGGCCGCGCCCGGTGAAGCGCCGAGGCACCGCCAACCGCAAGGAGCGGCGCAGGACTCAGAGCATCAACAGCGCCTTCGCCGAACTGCGCGAGTGCATTCCCAACGTGCCCGCCGACACCAAGCTCTCCAAAATCAAGACGCTGCGCCTGGCCACCAGCTACATCGCCTACCTCATGGACCTGCTGGCCAAGGACGACCAGAACGGCGAGGCGGAGGCCTTCAAGGCGGAGATCAAGAAAACAGACGTGAAAGAGGAGAAACGGAAGAAAGAGCTGGTCAGTACTAGGGGCAGAGCGCGGTTGAAGGGGTGGGGTTCCGGGAGACAATGCTCCCAGTTTCTCTCCAGTCTGCATGAGAGGTGACACCAGCATTCTTTGCATGTGTTGACTGCACCAGGTTGTGCTAGGGATGGTTTCCTGCATCAAAAGAAATGGGGAGGATTCTGCAGAAAGAGCAGAGGTCTTTAGAGACGTGCTTGGCACTTCTGACAGACCCCTCCAGGCGAGGGACGAGCCTCTCTATTCTCTGTGTAGACTGGCCTGGCCGCTCGTTCCACACCGTTAAAGTCTTCATTTGGCCTCCAATCTGACCTTATTTTCAGATAGTTCTAATGAAAGAATCTCTCAATTCCAATTATTTTACCCTCCAAAAATGAGGTTGCCACTGATTCTGAACCCTGAGAGTTTTATGGTCGCTATGCCCGAAAGGCATAAAGGTAAATATTAAATAAGTACTTTGAACCATGAAATACAGCTCAGGTTTCTGGCTGTGATGTTTTATTTGAACAAGCCTGTACACTTTAAGACAAAATTTAAATATCACTACAGTTGTTGTTATTAGGAGTAACACCAAATTTTACTGAGCCATTTAAAATTCCCTCAGGTTCTTACCAAGTGCCCACCGTGTGGGCAATTGAGGACACCAGGCGATTGCCATGAATGCCTGAAAAATAATTCCATTTCTTGAGATTATTTCCTTTTGGGCATTTGACCCTCTGATGACTGCATAATCAAATGACCTTGCAAATCACCAGAAATCTCAGAGGCCTTAGAGGAGCTTCTAAATTGGGAGCTAGCAGAGTGGCATTTGGCCCATTTCTCTTAGAACATGGCTCTGGGGTTGCTGTTGAAAACATAGGGCACATTTAGTGCACACAGAACACTCACACACACACACACGCACACGCGCGCGCGCGCACACACACACACACACACACACACACACACATACCTCCCTACTTCTACATCTGGAGTCAGAAAAAAAGACCCTGGGTTCCTCCATAAATGACTCGAAGACCAGCGATTGTTTATAAACTTGCCGATCTGGTGGTAGTTGAGTATTGCAGCTTGGAGGCCTTGGTGGTAGCTAGGGCTCTGCAAACCCTTGCTTGCTTTCCTGCAGGGCCTGGGCCTTGGAACCCCCTCTCTCCCCTTGGCCTTGCTGCCTTCCTCACCCTCCGCTGGCTCAGGAAATGCTGGAGTGGCTTGGGACCAGGTATCCTTCCTGATTTTCTCTTTTCTTTTTTCTTGCTCTCTCCTTCTTTCTACCCAGAATGAAATCTTGAAAAGCACAGTAAGCAGCAATGACAAGAAAACCAAAGGCCGGACAGGCTGGCCTCAGCACGTCTGGGCCCTGGAGCTCAAGCAGTGAAGAAGAGAAGGAGGAGAAGAGAGCCAGTGAGCTGGGGCCGAGGTGCCAGATACTGACCCAGGACTCCCGGCAAGCCCTCGGCTCTGCTCTGAGGACTACTTGCATTTGGATCATCCGGTTTATTTATGTGCAATTTCCGTCCCCCTCTCTTTTTGCCCCCCTTTGAGGCATCCATTCCCCATCTCCCCCTCCAAAACAGTGGATATTTGAAGAAAAGCATTCCATATTTTAATATGAAGAGGACACTCCCACGTGGTAAGGGATCCCTTCGACTTGTAGATTCTGTGTGTGTGAATGTTCCCTGTTGGCTGTGTAGATACCACCGCTGTCCCTCCTCACCTAACCAGCCCCTCCCAGATAAAGACAGCAGACACTAGTGCATATGTGAAGTGTATCTTCAGTTCCTGGCCTTTGGATATAAATATTCCTGGGGATTATAAAGTTTTATTTCAAAGCAGAAAACAGGGCCACTAACATTTCCGTTGGGGTCGGTAACTAGTGCTGTCTTCATATGTGATCATTCCCTATTCAAAGATATTTCCAACAGCTACTTGTTTTGTGCACTTCTGTCCTCTAAAACTAAGTGGAATTTAATTAATATTGAAGGTGTAAACATTGTAAGTATTCAATAAACCACTGTGTGTTTTTTTTTACAAAAAATCCTAATCTTTTAATGGCTGATACCTCAAAAGAATTTTGAAAACAAAGCTGTTATACTTGCTTTCATAATATTTAAACTATTCAGAAGTAAACTAAATTATCATACTTGCCTCTAACTTTATTTGAAAGAGTCAGTGGTTCTGATCTATCAGTATGACTGTGGTCCCTATCCTGATGAGGCTCAGTTAGAGATGGGTCCTTGGTGGAAATCCTGCCCATCGGCCTATCTCTTTCCTTCTCCCCTAAACTCCCAAGAGAACGGTGACTGGCCTATAGCACAAGTGTCTGAGGTGCAGGAATGGCCCACTCCAGAAGGTGGAACAGAGTCCTTATTTTCTGAAATCAATCAGATCCCTGCTGTGGGGGGCTTGGATTTGTGTTTGGTGAGAGGTTTCCAGTGGAGGAGGTGTGAAAAGAATCCCAGGCATTATTACAGCCTCAGGAAATACTCTAGGGTGTTTGGTTTAAAATATAGGAGGATAAAAGGAAAGGAAAGGGAAAAAAGAGGAGGTTTTGATTGTAGCCTAGATTGGGAGGATTCTCTTCTGAGCTGGGGACGGTAAAGGGCTTTTGAAAAAACAGTATGATTAGGTAACAAGGAATTTTACGTCAAGTAAGAAATCGTGAACAAGACCACAGGTTTAAAGGGGGGCAAGGGGTGGGTTAGATTTACAAGGAGCTACAAGGAACTCAATATGAACTGCACGGGGTCTGAAGCCTGCCCAGCAGAACAAGCTGCGAGCTACCCTAACTTCCAGCGGCCAAGGACTTCACCCTGTCGGGTTTCTGGTGTCCGAGTCCGGATAACACCAGGAAGAAAGTCCCTTGCGCCCCCCACCCGCCCCCCGCAGAGAAACTGAAGTGTTATAAAGTACTAACTCTGCAGGCTTGGTGGGGGAGCGAGAAAGATGAAACATATTAAAAAGCGGTTTGTTTCATGAAACGCTGCGTATATAAATCTCTTGTTGGAGAGGCTTCCCAGAGAGTTTCCACCTTGGAACCCATCCTGGGGTGACGTTCGCGCCTCTCCAGCGGGCACAGTCCCTCTGGTGACACCCCAAGGGTTCCTATGCCGCCTCCCCGCCGGTGCCTACTCTGACCCGGCCCGGGTCTTGGACTAGATCAGTCCGGCATGGGCGACTTCCAAGTGCCCCGGGAAAGATGAGCGAGCCAGGGGCTTTGCGGACTTCTGCGGGCGGGCGACTGACAACGGGAGGGCGCGGGGTTAGAACAACTCGGCCAAAGTGATCTGAACTTTCTACCCACAGGTCAGCGGGTGCCGAGCCAACCAGGTGGGCGAGGGGCTGTGTTTACAGACACTTGCCTTTGTTTATAGCACTGGGGGTGGAGGGAGGTGCGCCCTGGTTTTCTGTTCCTGTCTCAATCCCTGTCGGTCTAGCTAAGTGGCTCCCCCTCTCTCTTGCCTCCAGCTTCCTTTATTTTACCGTCTCAGGAGAAAGACTCCAGGTCCTACAGGCAAAGGAATGTAGTCCTTCCAAAGTAATGGAGTGGATAAACAGTTAGTGGAAACTCTTTTTAAAACAGAACAGAGAGTTCTCTTCCCTATGCACTTGTGCCTGTGGGTTCCTTGGGTTTCCCATCTGGGCCTTAATGCACTTACGCTGGTTTTAACACTTTTTCTGATTTATTATACACCCAAAGAAGGGAGCCCAAAGATCCTGGTGCCCTGTCCCCATGTAGCTGCTTGCTAATACGCATGCTTTTTAACACTCAGCACTTAGTCTGACAGGGATCAAACTCTGCCGGCCTTCTCTCCCTCCTGTCGCAGTCACAGCCTCACTGCCAGCAGCACCAAGCCCAGGTACCCCATGTACTTTGTGGGTGCAACCTGCCAGGAATCTCAGCTATACAGAAACCCAACTGACTCCACATCCTAGCCAACAGAAAGGCTCCAGCTGCCCCTCACCACGAGCAGATGGTAGCCCAATTCTCTCTCTTCACCTATAACTGCCTGCTACTGTCCACAGCTAACTAGAGGCGTACTCCAAGTGGCCCAAGACCAACTCTCAAAACACCCCAGGTTACCCCTTCCCTCCGGAAATCATCATCCCAGCACCCCACAGCTCACAGCCACCCAGTGGTCCAAGTTCTAGGGCAGTTAAGCAACCATTTCTTCTGCATTTCTGTGCTTTTCTTTTCTACACAATTTGTTCTCTTTTAATGACTTTTCTTCTTTGTTTAAAAAAAAATAGCTTCCACTCTCCTGCTTGCGGGACTGGTTAAAGGCCTCTGTTTTAATTGCTTGGATAATGTAGTTGATGCCATTTTGTTAAGAGCAATCACTTCTGCAGCGAAATCGCAAGCACTCTAGACAGGCCGGAGCCGACAAAAATGTAGGATTTGACGTTAAAAGCTAAATGGGAAGCTGGGGCAGCGGAAGGTAAATTGATGGTAGATCTGGCTGTCAGGGCTTGGCCCCAGACCGCCTCACAGGCCAAAAGCCTGATAACCCTGGAGCAGCAGTGGGTGAGTGGGCGTAGATGTATGCCTGCAGACCAGTGTCAGCATGGGAAGGAATCTGCAGAGTCCAGAGTGTGGTCTGTCACACTCCTTGCCCATAGTCTCAGTTTTCCAGGACGTTTGTCCTCGGCTCCTGCACTGACAGTGGGTTTCTGTGCTTTTTCAGCTGGAGAACTCTCAGGTGACAGCAAGATCACTTGGGGCTCTGATTCCCTTCCAAGTCAGGAAGGAAGCCTCACTCTGGCAGCTGGCGGTGTGGGGAGCTCTAAAATTCAGGAGGGCCAGGTGGTGGGTAGAAACATCTAGCAGTGGTGAGCCTCTTGGCCTAAACTGCCCTCAGGTGGAAGGGATCTGATGGCTTAGTTTGCTTCAGCAATGAGATTGTTGCAACAGTAGCACAGAGGGTAGACACTAAGCCCTCCTAGAAAAAGTGTGTGCATCAGTTTGGGGACAGATGGTGGCTCAATTCCTTTTCCTCACCTAAGACTACTGGCTGCTGCCCACAGCAGGGAAAGGTCTCAGTGTTGGTAGTTTCTTACAGGTATTTATGTGGGAGGAGAGCGGAAGTTGGTGCGTGCAGAATTCTCAGGAAGGGCAATGGAGGAGGAGAATGAGCCCAAAGCAAGGAGACCAAGAGCCAAAGGAGGCCTATGAACCCCTTTCCAGACTATAGCTCTGCAGAGACAACCCAGACAAGTTGCAGTGGGCCTAGAGTGCGCCTGCAAGGGACAGTAAATATAATGAATGATGCTGTGAAAGGCAAGACTGCATTTGTAGAGCTGGCCTACAAAGGGCCGGAAATGGTTCCTGGAGCCTGTTTCTAACGCGCTGTTCGAGCAGTTTTCTCTTCCACAACTATCTAACATGATCTCTGCTTCTCCCCGTGCCTAAGTCTCATGCACACACCTTGATCTGCAAACCGGAGAGGCTCATGGGTTCCAAGGGCAGATAGTCTGAACCAAGGCTTGTGGCTGAGCCCCATAGAGAACTGAATCTGGAGGCTGGACACTGCCTCTCTACAGTATGCACGATCTGTTGACCGGAGAGAAAATATTCCTTTAGTAGGTCCCAGCTCTTAAGATCCAGCTCTCTGCAGGAAGAGGGGGCGCTAATGAGTCTCCTTGCCTGGCATGCAGGACTCCTGAGTGAGCCCAAGGTTCTCTTGGAAAGAAAAACCCAGAAGCGGGGATAAGAACCCGGCTGGAGGTCCAGCAGCCCTCCAGCCTTCTCTCTAAAAATCTCAGTGCAGTGAAGTGCTGCTGTAAGGGGTAGGGAGTAGGGGGTGGGGGCACGCCTATGCGTTTTTTAACTGTTAAAAAAAAAAAAAAGGAGAGGGAGAGGGGCCGCTCCAGGAGAGGAAACCAATCCCACGTTTCCGGGGGCCGGACAGTTCTGAGAGCGCCGCCTTATCGCTCAGCCTGCTTGCAGAGTTACAGCAGTCTGTCCTCTCCTAATGAGCCTGCAACTGCTGAGCGGCTTGGGCCTGGTAGGCTAATGGAGGGTAAAGTTCTCTGAGTGTCTGACTTCCGTGCGCACAGAAGTGTCCAACTTCTGTTCTAGCCCCTCCACCTTGCCCAAGTCAGCTCCCATCCAAGAGCGCGCACCCTACCTTTCCTCCCAAACGCTTCCCCCCACCCGGTACACACAGTTTTCCAAATTCTCCAGGCATTTGGGCCGCTTTGATGATCAGATGGTAGAGCCCTGATTACAAATTTATTCCCGGCCGCTCTGTCCGTCTTTATCTCCGCTGGTGGGGACATCTGGGAGCGATTAGGGCCGCGCCCGCGCCCAGCCCGCAGGCCTATCTCGCCGCTGCGGGGCCAGCGTCCCGCTGACGTCAGGGCAGACGGCTCGGAGCCATCCCGGCCGGCCGAGCTGGGTGTAATCGGCGGCTGCACGGCCAAGTCCTCCCGGGGCCAGGCCGGCAGCTGGAACGCGCCGCCCGCCTGAGCAGGGACTTTCTAAATATGTATTTTTAGCCCAGAAGACGGTTTTGTTTTCCTTGTTTGGGGCGAGGAGGGGCCAAGTGACGTTTCTAATGCCCTCTCCCCACTTTAAATTTTCCTACTGGCTAAGTTGCGCGCATTCCTCCTGGAAAAAAAAAAAAAAGAAATAGAAAAACCGCTCACGTCCGGCCTCTAGGCCGGAGCTTCTTGGCTTCCCTGAGCCAAGGCGCTGCTGCTGTGCATCAAAAGAGCTGCAGCCCGGAAGGCAGCCAGTCGCGCTAGGGAAGGGGGTTGTGGGGGCTGCTCTTAGGACAGCTTCTAGCTCTGTCCTCCCACTTGGGCGCCCGTCGGCACCTTATAGCCTTGAAGCAAAAGTAGTGGGAGCTTCTGCCTTGTGGAGAGGGCTGGCAGAAGCTGACTACAGAACAGTGTCGTTGCACCTGCTATTTAATGGATCCAGTGAGCTGCCGCCTAACACCTCTGGAGGGTGGGCATGCTCGCCGGCAGCTTTGTCCTGTACCTGTCGCAGTGCTCAGAGTACAGGCTAACTATGCGTGCATAATAATTCCTGGGTGCGCTGGCAGATGGCCGACCTCTGACCCTGGCACCCTGCAGGCGGGTCTGGGTTCCTGGAGTTAGGGGTCCTGGGATGCACCTTGAACCCTTTAGCTAAGGGAT